ATGCCAGCATACATTGAAGTCCAGCATACAGGTTTGCAAGCTTGTTAGTGGCGACCGATCTGGTATGGTCGGCTTCGTTTGTTTCACTTTCTTTCGCTATACCTCCGGTGACCGATCCTGGTGACCGAGCGACCGATTGGTCACCGATCCGTGTTTTCCAGTCACCGATCCGTGATTTGCGGTCACCGATCCGTGGCGACCGATCCGACCACCTTGGTGACCGATCCTGGTGACCGATCCGACCCTCACCCGAGATGCACACTGGACTGGCACCAACAAAGACGCCAGTGTTGCGTTTGTAAGATCGATTCGGGACTCTGGATCGGGGTACCTTCTATTGTGCTTTCAATTCCTTATGGGCCCTGCTAGTAGTTAGAACTATTGTGGCAGGCTTTGCGTCGGTTCTTCATTGGCAGATGTGCACTTGACCCCGGGACCTCTTGAAAATTAAATTGCAGGACTTGATGGTAGGACCTTATTGGATTACTTGGGCGTTTCAATACCAAGGTTCCTTCAGGTCTTGGAGTGATCAGATAGTACGTACTTTTATCCGGAGTGTGTCTCCTCGTGAGAGCCCGGAGTGATTCCGAAGAGTGCCCTCTTTGGCCCTCTGTCTGTCTGTCTGTCTGCCTGGCTGTTTGCCTGTTTGCCTGTCTGCCTGTCTGCCTGCCTGTCTCTCCTGTCTCCCTCTCTCTCTCTCTCGAGCACGCTCGCTCTCACTTCAATGCAAAATTCAAAAGCCAAGTAAGAACTTCCTACCTGGAACCATGGAGCAGGTCGTAGACCGGAAATTTGTTCACTGCGAGCGGAGTTGCCCGTCCAATGGACATGGTTCAAGGTGGCCGGAGCGGCCGTAGTCCGGATCTTACTTTAGCGTGCGCCGTGTGTCACATACGTACCAAACGAGGCTACGTTGCAATGAGGGATGGCGTCGTGTGGTTTGGCCCTCTCATCTGGTTCCCTGTCATCTGCCTCTCACACACCTTTCTTGTTCTCTTTCTTTCCATGTCTTTTCTGCCTTCATGTCTGGTCATTTCATCTCCTTCTTTTTGCGCGCGCGATCGTCGGGGCCTTAGCCCGTTCGTTCACATTGAACCAGGTTGTTAGGTGCCCCAGGTTATGGCTAATGAGGTTTGGTTCGTCGGTTGTCCCTGCACTTAGTGTCCTCTTCATGGCCCTTGCACACACAATGTGCACATCGTTTTCATGTGTCTCTGTCTCGGGTCTTCATCTGTCCTTTTCGTGCACATGTGCCTTTGTATGTGCCAAACTTATTTGGGATGGATCGCCATCCTGTTTTGGTTGGAGTGTTCCACCAGTCTAACATGATAGTTCCTGGCATGCCTCGTGCTTAACCACATTCTGTACTTTGAAGCCACCTGAGGACTCAGAAAGTTAAACCCTTCGAAGCCTTCAATCTTTGCATCCGATATCTCGCAGCACGAATTTTGCATCTCGGTGAGCAGGTGGCCACTGCGCTCCCCCCCAGGACGTGTTTTTCTTTTGCTTCCCTTTGCTTCCCTTCTTCCCGAAGATTTCAGATATGGAAGGCAACCTGTTGAAAAACATTTTGCACAGTTGGTTCAGGTCTGTGCCTTTTGGTGCAGGTCTGCAATGGCAAACCAGCAGCAAAGTATTGAACGTGTTGAGCAACCTAGGTTTTTCAAACAAATGTCCCACCATTGTCTTACGCATGACACGGGATCGTGTGTGCCATGGCATCCGAATCGGAACATTTTTGATTTTATGCTGCTCAGGTATACCATGTGCTATATCTTGGGCACCAATGACGTGGTCGCTGCTCTCCGTTCCCTCATTTGGATGGACAGCATCCAGCCTTAATGCTGAGAAGGGTTTGACTGCGGACACAGAAGACATTGCCCATGAAGGACTCCCAAACGTTGTAGCTAAGATACTAGGATAGAAACATGACCAGCCTTCCCTTCAATTACGGGCGGTTGACCTCAAAGCCCGATGTGCGCTCAGGTATTTTATCGATCGGACGTTTGTACATGAAAGCCCTCACGGTTTTAAAGAAAGCCTGAAACTTCGGCGCTTTGGCGAGTGAAAAAGTTGCGGTTGCGCGGACATCCGACAACTTAGATTGGGCAGTCCTTCCAACAGTGGACAACAGCAAGTCACAAGTGAGTCCCAATATGTACGACATATTACATATAGACAGAGGTATACTAATATGTGTCAGCAGTCAGTTGTTTTCATCCACCAGTTACAAGTCTTTGCTGCTCCGTTGCTAACGGTTGAAAGTCTAGAAGAAACATTAAAGCACTGCACTGGTGAAGCATTCAACATGAATCTCGTGTCAGGTGATCTTGAGCCCGGGGCAGATGGCGGAGAGTGCCCGGGATGCCCAGAAGAGTGACGAGTCCAGCAGTTTGGTCCAGTTATCGGTCGGTCCCGGTATTTGATCGGCACATTTTCAGAGTATTTATGGTGAAAGGTCTGTGAAGGGATGTTAATGGTTATGGTTGAGTTTGCAGCAAAACGGTGTGTGAAAACCAACATGCGGCACCAAAGGGCAACCATGGCTACCATGGCTATAGTTCCAAAGAACAGAACACACTCACTGAAGAAGTGTTTTTGATTTCCAGAGCGGGTTAGGTTGGAGGCCATCGCTTCTAGGTTGGAGGCCATTGGTATTAGGTTCCCATCGCTATTTGGTTTGTCTTCTTCACTCACCAAGGCCAAGACCCTGAATCGGCTGGATTCCATTCCATTCGCTCCCGGGAACCATCGTCGTACTAGCATTACTCGCCAGGCACACTTCATTGCGGTGGCCAGTGATGTCTTCAAGGCCACATTTTGATCCAAGTTCGGAGTTTAGGCATCTGTCCGGCAGAGTCAGAGTCGTTCTTCTGAGTGGATGTCCATGGGTTCATTCATCCGAAAGGATCTAAAGTCTGACCATTTGGTGCCTTGCAGGGCGCATTCCGCTTCGAGTGCTACGCCTACCCGGGGCACTACCTGGCCTTCCTTCCGCCAACGCACTTGCGGGCCTGGGCCGAGGGAGATTCGACGTGTTTTTTTGCCGCAGTTCAGTTGGTCACTTGCCCAGCGAAGATTCTGAGCACAATGCGTATGGACACTCGGAAGCCTGCCTGCAACCGAAAGTGTGCCTCACGCGATCGTGGCAGGTGGTTGGAGGTACTGTGGAAGAGAAGACAGCCATCGATTTCATGTTCCCGAGCTGAGTCTTTCAGATAGCAGGCGTTTCTTTGGGTATGGAGGCTTCACTACTGTGGGTCATGTGGGTTTCTTTGGTCTTGGCTTAGGGCTTCACTTCTTTAGGGTTCCCTAGGTGTTCGTTCTTTTAGTTTTGGCATGCGGATTTCACTTCCCTGGGGTTTCTCTGGGTTGGCTTAGCGTGGTTTCACTTCTCTAGGGTTTCTTTGGGCTTGGCTTGCGGGCTTTGCTCCTCAGGGATTGTCTAAGCTTGGCCGATTCTACAGAACAACATGCGTTTCTTTCTTTCTTTCGCTTTCGCCAAGGACGGTTGTCTGCGGCGGCATGCACTAATTAGGTCAGGTTGGGTGAGGGTCTCTGCCCTCTATTGCCAAAGTCCTCCCCCCATACTAGCTTGCGTATCAAAAGAAGCATTGAGTGAATCAAACACCTTTTTGAACCACAACGGTATGGGGTCAGGAGAATCTGGCTGGGGTTGGCTTTCAGCACAAAGGGTCGCTATTGCTTCACAGAAGTCTGGTGGATATGCCTTAAGCACGGCAGTCTTCCACTTTCCTTCGTGGTTCTTCCCTATGGCTGTTGCCGTTGGTAACGCGGTCGTGCGCTGTTGGAGAAACAGTTCTTCAGCTCTGTCGGTCACATTAACAAGAAGTAAGTCGGTGGGTTTCACCGTCTTCCCCCCCGTAGTGCCCTTGCAGCACACGTACCTTAGTGACTCTTGGAAAAAGTTGCAGGAGGCGCAAAATGGCCGTCTTCCATATGGACACGAGATGGGGCTCGTTATCGTCCCCGGCTGGATGCTCTAGCACCCCAGTCTTGCCGTGTGCCAGGGCCACACATAGGAGTTTGACCGCCACCGCCAACAAGCGAGTACCAAAGGTCACTTGTTCATCCTCCCTCTTACTGAGATCAAGCTTCCCAAAAGGTTTGGCGTTGGTTCGCAAAACTCTCGGTCCGCTCGATCCATCTGGTAGTGGCTGGCCCCTTGCCCTGGACCAAGTCTCACAGGGGGGGGCCAGCCACAATTCCTTGGATCACATTCTCCTCAATTGCTCGTTTAAATAGAGCAAATGTTTCAGGGCGATTGAGGTCGCCGAGGGTGACATTAAAAATGATGTCAACAGAAATCATGGAGAAACCCTTCCTTTCGAGGCATTCTTGGACATCAGAAAATCTTCGATGCCCAGAAAAGAGATGGGCGAAAACAACTGGCTGGTATTTAGGAGGTCTGACACACCGAAACATTTGTGTTTGCATCTTGGCTGCCAGTTCAGCAATCATCTTGCTGGGGCTCCGGCAATTCACTTTCTCTCGGCGTCCAGTAACAAACCACGAAAAAGCAAAAGCCGTCTCATACAGATGAAACACACCCAGAACATCAAGTGTCAAATTTTCACTCTGTGTCATGGCTATTCTCCAGTCTGCAAAATTCTGGCGGATCTCAGCTGGAAAGAGACACGTATCCAAAGTCGCTTTACGCAATCTCTCAAGCAGGGGACCCTTGTCCTCGCAGGCTGTAAGTGTGTCTGTCCATCTGGCCCAGAGCTTTCGGCATTCTCCTTCAACGAAGGGGTCGGCATGTCGAAGGGTGTGAGAGTCCTGTTTCGGTCCTTCCCCTTGGAGGACCGGATCAGGCATCACTGGCTTAGATTGATTTATGGTTCGACTGTTGACTCCTGGTTCCGGATCAACAATAAAGGCACCTGCAAGGTATGTCTGGAGACAGCTACCACTTCTCTTTACATGGTTTTGAAGATTAATGGCTGTCGAGAAATGCTTTAAGCATTCTTTGCACTGTAATCCATCAACAAAGTGTCGAGTGACATTCCTCCTTGCATGCGTTTTAAACGCATGTACCGCTAATGCAGCCGGAGAGGCAAAGGCACGAACACAGCATAAACAGAAATATTCTTCTGTTCGCAACTCTTCAGGTGCCTGGAGTTCAGCATGTTCGCATAAGTAGTCTAGTGTCCACTTGTGCCACTGTTCCCACTCATGCACTCTGCGGTGGTATGCAATCGCTCTTGCTTGAGCTCGTCTGAGCAGCCGCTTCCAGGGGAGCATCCGGTTAGTTGCCCAATCTTCCATCAGCCACAAGTGTGGTTGCCCCACTCGAACAATCTGTGCCAAATATCTTAGGCGTGCCACTCTCAGGAGGACCTCAGTAGTGGGCAGTTGCAAAGCTGAGTAAACTTGAGCTTGGCTCCACTCCAAAGCCTGTTTACCAAAGTGCATCACCGCAATGCGTTTGTGCAAACGGTCAAAACCGGCAACAATTTGTTTCTGTTGTCCTTTAGTTCTGGTCTGCCATGTAGCAGCATTGAAAACGATAGCACTCATGACTAACGAATTGAAAAGCTGCGTCTTGGCGCCAATGTTCATTTGTCGATTGGAAAAGATCTGTGCTTTGTATCGTGTCACAGTCTCGTGGGCAATGGCAAATTTAGTTTGTACATCTCTGCTTGTCCTGCCACCTAGCTGTATGATGGTTCCGAGGTGTCGGTATGAACCTACTGCACGCAGGGGTTCGGCAATCAGCGGTGACTGCAGGTGGAATTTATAATCCTGGTGCATTAGGTCCCTTCGTGCCTGAAGGGAGCCGCGTCCTTTCAAGTCAACCAGAACTTCTGTCTTGCCGGGCTTCATATTGGGCTGCAATCCAGACACAGCCAAACTATGAAGGACGTCATTGGCGACTTGTGGCAGGAGTTGGAGAAGCTCTTGTGGTGAGTCATGTGACATGGCGAGTGCTAAGTCGTCAGCCCAGACAGGAAGAAGGGGGCCTAGAAAAGTCGTCTCTTCGTCTGGATGGGGTGTATTTTGTCCTGTCCATGCTATCGTCAGGAAGGGGTATTTATCGAGCAGTACCCCTTCGCGGCGGCGAAGTAGTTTGGCCAGGGCAAAGCCAAAGCAGATGTCAGCAAATGAGTCACCTGGCCTGCTACCTCGGTGAGTTTGTGTCCAGGTGCTTGTCCCATTCACTGTGTACCAAGTACGCGAATAAAATTCACGAAAAAGGCTCTGCGTGAAAAGGGAAGCATTGGATTGCTCGATAGCAGGCCCTTCCTGGAGAAGGTCACAGAATTCATCATACACTTCTTCCGGCAAACAAAGGCTGGTGAAAATCTCTTGCACAGCCCGTTCAGCTCCGGTCCCCGATATAATATGTTCTCTTAGTAGCCGGTAGAAGGCATTTTGTATGTCTACGAAGAGTACAGCAAAACTTCGATGGTTATCATTGGACCATCCATGGTACAAATGGATAACATGGGAGACCTGCGTGATGCCTTGCCCCTTGAGGCCACCTAATTGCATGCTGCGTCTGACCTAATTGCATGCTGCGTCTGGATTCTGCAAAATTTTCCCCTAGCCGTCCTCGGTAGAGGCTATGCAAGGCCTTACCGACCGGGCTTGACACAAAAAGTGATCGGTAGTTCTCGCAGAGGAAAGGTGACCCTCGTTTGAAGGCTGGCACCAAGTTGCCTCCCTTGTATAGGACAGCTTCTCTTTGGTAGAGAACTTCCTTCAGGAATAGGGGCATGAACACCTCTGTCATTCCCTCCGGTATCATAGCGAGGAGGTCGCCCGGGACTCCATCCGCAAAGTATGCACGATTGCGAGAGGTCTTGCGGAAAGCTGCCTCTACTTCTCGCCATGTCGGTACATCATCAATCTGCGGCTTTTCTCTCTCGCACATCGCCCGTCCTTGCTGCAACAACAGGTCTTGAGGTTCAACCACGTGTCCATCTTCTTGGGTCGCAAAGTGGGCTCGCCATCTTTCCGCCAGGGCGCCACAAGTATCAATAGGCTGGCCCTGTTCATCATAGACCATCGGCAGCGGGATGATGCCAGTAGGCTTTTTCTTGCTCCTGACTCCCATGGAGCGCAGCGCATCAGCAAATTCTTTGGGACTCATGGTTTTTGCTTTCCTCGCCACTTCTTCCAAGGCAGTCGTCCGATCCCTCCTGAGACAACGAGAAAGGAATTTCGTATGAGCCGCAAGTTGTTCCTTGCGGTTAACCAGTAGGCGGCATCCGAGTAAGGCTTCAGTAAATATCGTGGCATTCCGAAATGGTTGTCCAGAGGCCCATCCCGCAAAAGCCTGTCTCAGGGACAATAGGCCAATCTGTCGGCGAGCTCTTGTCAATTCATGCTTCAGCCGTAGTCGCTCTCCTCGCAGTTGCCATGTTCCATCCGTGACATAGCTCTTTCGTGGTCTGGCTCCATGAGAAGGGAACAGCACCTGGAGCCTCTCGGAAATCCATTCGGATAGTATAGTGGCATGTCTGTCAACATTAGTTTGCCAAGGCACCGAAGGGGGCTGCGAGAATTGCCGGGCCAGCCATCGAGTATCGGACTTTTGGAGCTCTCGTCGGTCAAAGTTGGGCCTCGTCCGCTTCTGTTTCTGGACTGCACTCCATAAACAACATTCAATCGTCAGCGGTGTATGGTCCGTACCTGCATTGCCTTCATCCACGGAAAAGACCGGGTAGGTTCGGATCCGCAGCGACTGCCATTGTTGTGGGCACACTATGTAATCGCAGCGTGCTTCTTGGCCGTTCACATTGCTCACCCACGTAGTAGTGGTCCCTTCATGTATCCACTGGAAGGTTGAGGGCAGGTATGCACCAATCTGGTGGAGGAAGTCCTTGAAATGCTGCGCAGATAAATTTTCTTTATCCTCGAGGCCATAGCTGCCGACAGCAACATCATCTCCTACAGCAAAATGAGCATTGGCATCAATACCAATCAGAAAATTCGGGTACTTTGGGATCCACTTCAACATTTCAGTGGAAAGCATCTTCCAAAAGGCATGTATGACTTGTGGTTGGTGTCCCGAATGTGGTGCATGGGCCGTGCAGATGAGCCAGTGTAGTGATTTATAGACCACTCTGGCAAGCATGACCTCGGGGTGTGAAAAAAAGAACTTTGATTTCTTGTTTCGGGAAGAGTTCACTGTCTGACCCATTACGGTGTCGTAGTAACCAAATCTCA